AAAAAAAAAAAAAATAGAAATTACAGTTCCTTCAAATGCCTATATCTAGAAATAAAAATTTGCCTATATTAACAGTGAAACTACTAATGCACATTCAGTCCAAAATCACACATAAAATTTCAAAGATGTTCATTGTGAAACCAATAACAAAAAGCAGAAATTCAATTTCCGTTAAAACTAAAGTTAAATTTATCTTTCTCATTCAAAACAAATTAAAACTAAATCGACGAACTTTAAATAACATTCTAGTATTTTTTCTAGTACCTAATAGCACACAAATGATTATCAGAACTCCTGATCACAAATTTCTTTTCATCTATTTAATTTACAACTCTCTCTCTCTCTCTCTCTCTCTCTGTCGTTCTAATAATATCCTTAGGAACTTTCGTTTTCTTTATCCTCGAAATATCATCTGACAAGGCATAAAACGACGATGCATAAAACAGTGGACAAAATCCAGGAATCTATTAAGAATGACTCCTTGCCCTGTAAACCCTCGACTAACTGACCTTACATGACATCTCCAGCATCGAGGTCCACGAAATGTTTCAAAACAAAGTTCATCAACTGACATCGTGACATGGTGGAGCCTCGACGAAAAGACGAAGCTTAATTGCGAATCACAAGTCAAAGAATTCATTCTTTGTGATCCTGATTAAAAGACACGTGCTTGAAATTGACGTGTGCGATTGGTGAAGCCAAATTTATCGACGTGAAAAACGCGTTAGACTGAACTGGTTTTCGGCAGAGGTTTCAGCTTCAGCTCCCGTCGTTGCTCGTGATAGTCTTGAAAACAAGGGACAATGCACAGATTGGCCTGACACTCGGGGCAATGGTACTTTGTTTTTCTCCGGAGCGTCCTTCCGTGAGCATCTATCGTGTTCCAGCAGTGTTTGCAGCTCAGAGCTGGTCCTGGACGCAATACTGGACAATGGCCGAGTCGCAGGTCACCTAAATTCTCTCGCGATTCTCTGCTCGTCGCCTGCAATAAATATATATACGTATATATATATATATACATCCCTTTCTCAGTTATTCCAATAATCTATGACCACTGATATGAAAATAAGTAAATGCTAAATGCGAATTTTTCTTCTCATCTCAAGAACCATAAATTAATCCATCAAGAACGAAGATTATAATTTATTATAATTTCTTTGAATATCATAAAGTTGTAGAATCTAAATGACGATCGTCCGCAGCATTTTATCAATTTTATGGAATATTCCCATACTTGCGGAGACGAGGAGCTCCGTCTGAGTTCCGTAGTCTTCACCCTCAGGCCCGACGTAGAGCCAGTGGTGGTCTCCGTAGTAGTGGTGGCGATGCTTGGTTCGTCCGGCGTGATTTCCTCCTCCGTTTTAACGACCGGCGCCGGTTCCACGACGATCGACGGGCTGGTGGTCCGACTGGGGAACTCCGGGTTCGAGTGTTGCCTGTATATCCAGTAATTGCCACTGCTGGACTGTTGCTGACTAGACAAGAGCGGGTGGGAGTGTTGCTTCATCAAATAGGATGGCTGAGGCACGGTCAACAGGTTCGTCGAGGTGGTCACCGTCAACAGACTTGGCTGGTTCACCAGGATCGATTGCTGCGGCGGCGAGATTCTCGTCTCGTCCCAGCTCTTCGATGTCTGCGGCAGATTCAACGTCGGCGCCGTCATGTAGATAGAGGACGAGACAATGTGAGGCGACGACGACTCGCTGTCTGGCGACAAATGGTTCGATTCCTTCTTCACTCGCGGCTGGCGCAGCAGACGACATCTTTTCGGCCCTGCTTTACAAACTGCTGGAAAACGGAAAGGAAAAATGTCAAATTAAAGGGATACTGCGAATTTAATCGAACTTACTGCGAACATTTAATCGTTAAGTGGACATTTAATCGTTTCAATTAACGAGAATAATGAAGGAGATAGCTGCTGCACTTTTCAAGTGCAACCAACAAAAAAAAAAAGTGATTAAAAAACTTTTACACGCAGCTAATCGTTTCTTATATCGACTGAAAAATCATACATTTTTAATGAAATTGAAATGTATAAAAAGCGAAGCTGTTTACTTCTCGCTGCTAAATCCTTAAATCGTATTATGCACTGACGTCATTGAGGATTTATTCTTATTTACCAATTTCTTACAAATTAAATATAAACACCAATTGTTAGAGTAGAATTGAAAGTCCACTTAAGGATTGAAATGCCGTTTCTTAAATATTTCAGAAATATCAGTGGTGGGAATAATTTATTAACATTATAACAACCGTGATGACATGACAATTTTCGTTAAGTTTTACGTGTGTTAGTTTATATTCATTTATTCAGTACCTTGTTTCTTACTTTTTACAGATTTCTGTTACTGATCGATTCTTTAAAAAAAAAAACATATTTTACAAATTCTTGAAGACGTTTTTGGTCTCTAATAAAAATTACGGTCGTTATAGTGTTAATGAAGTAATCGTAACAATTTATTTATTAATTTGTAATCAATGCTATAGTTTGTCCATTATAATCATAAAGAATTAGAAATAGAAACCGTTCTATTCCATAATATATAAGTAATAAGAAGCATTATATCGTACAAAGAAATACAATATTTAGACTTTTGTATGATATAATAATACAAAAATATTATATATTTTTTATTACTATATTAATATAAAGTGTTTTCATTATTGGACTATTCTATCTTTTCATTTCCATCTCTCTATCGTATATTAAATATGATATTAAGTGGTCAGGAACAAAAATAATTGGTCCTTTGAGAAGCCCACCAATCTCTCATTGAAAATTAAATTGTAAGACAAATAAGTTTAAAAATAACACTCTGTGTTTTACATTTCAAATATA